CAGGCAGGATGTAATGGTTGTTTTTGCATGCCTGCTCCAAAGTCCAAATCCACGAACTGTATATTGTAAGGCCAGTGTACTTTCATATTTAATTTGTCAACAGTTTTGATCAACTATGGAGCTACCTGAGAATCGGACATAACTTTTTATTCTGGCTTTGTTGTGGTGCAATTTCTGTTTTCTCAGCCATCACATGAAGGGAAGTAATAATAGTACTTAATTTAATTATTTATCTTTGGTAGGATGAGGGGCAGAACAAATGGCATCTGGGCAGAGGTAAGCTCTTTTCTGGGGCAATTTCTTGACATCATCTTAAACTGCAACAGAAAAGTCACTATAACAGTATTCATTTTTTTTGTTTGTTGTACAGTATCTTCTTTTTAATTGTGTCCTTTTGTTTTCTGCTACAAGGAAAGCATCAGGACACAAATTTCAGGAGAAGTCCAGGTGGAGTCATTGATGAACACCGTGTTATAAGTTTTTTGCTGCAAGTCGACATTGATCACTGTAGGTCTGGCCTGTAAATAAAGTCCTCTTGGAAGTTTTTGACCAGGCTCAAAAAAGGCTTCTGGAAATTAGGGAGATTTGACTGTATGTGTATAAATCCTTATATGTAATATGTAAAAGAAAAAAAAACTATTTTAAAGAAACTTTTTTTGGGGAGGGGGGTTTATTTTTGCAAATGGTTAAATATATGATTTTCACAGATTTTTGTCTTATTGATTGTTTTTTTCTCCACAGTTCGTGGACCATGTGGTTGATACCTGCCATTGCTGCAATTGTTGTTGGTGTCATGTATCGCTACTACATGTTCGAACACAAGTCCTCTTGAGTGCTGGCATTTTCATCTCATTGTTTTCATCTGGAGGCCTTGAAATGTTTGACCAAAACCTCCTTACACTGAACACACAAAATTAGGAGTGTGTGAATCCTTTGCAACTAGAAAAGGAGGGGAACAGTTTGATAAAGTACTTTTGTCCATCTACATAGATTGCACCAAATAGACAATTGGGCAGAAACTTCATTAAAGTGTCTGCCTTCAGTTGCTTTGTACTTCATCGTCACTATGCCTGTTGTCATTCATGTTAAATGTTGTCTTTAACTTAAACTTTCATATGCATTTGACCCAGTTTGTTTATCTGTATGCTCATTAACCGTTTGCCTGCTCAGAGAAAGGTTTTGTTAACAGCCTGGTATACATACACCATCACTACAGATAGACTAAATGGAAACACTGATGGAGGTGATCGTATGCAGAATGGTGTTGTTATCAGGGTAATAGTTAACAATGACCATTCTACCGTTTACACTGAATTATAACTTCTAATGCATTTTCTTGGTTTTAATAAAGTGAGAAATGTTACTGCTTCCTAACTCTAAATAAGAATCATGAGTTTACTCCCTTCACTCCTTAATGCACAGTTATTGTGTTAGCAATGCTAGATTGCATTTATCACTTGTTGTAAATGCACAGTATTTTCCAATTATGTAATTGCAGTGTCACATCTTTGCATCTGTTGCTTTTTGAAAATAGTGGTGGATTATATAGTGTCTGATTATTTAAAGTAAAATGTGTTCTGGCTTTTTCTACACTTCTGTTATCAGGAATTTGTGTAAATGTTCAAAATATCTGTTCCATATATTAATATAAATTTCTGTAGTCATCGAATATTTTATTACCCAGGTGTAATAGCTTACAATGAATGAATACCCTTGAATTAAGAAAAATGTCTGTTATTTGATTGTTTTTAGATTTTATTGTTCCCTACTATGCCATTTGTCATTTAACTGATGCTTTTTCACAACTTTGTTTCATTGTAATTCATCTTATTTTGTTGTTTTGAATGAATGGTATTGGCAACTCACTTTAGGGTTTGAATTGTATTGGATAAAGTCAGTCAGTTGTCATTAGAACTGTGGATGGGTGTCTTTAAGGGCACAGTTTAACATACGTATGTAATTACCGTATGTTAGTTTTTGAACTGCCTAGGTTGGTACTGTTTAATATGTTTTGGTTTAGGCAAGGTTTCCATAGCATGTCAAAAATCACTCCTTTTATTGAATATTCTGAAATGACTTATTTCATATTACTATTGGGAAAAAAAATGTTTCCAACTACAAAGCCCATGATCAAGTCCATTTACCACCTGTAAATTCACAAAAGTTCAACATTTATGAATATAACTTGCTGCTATTTTTACATGTGGCTACATTATTTACTCTCAGATGTCAAACGTTTGTTGGTTGAACTTCAAGAAATATTTACCATAATTTCTCATCATCAAAATTATCTTTGAATAAAATGACTCTTTCAAAAAGTGGAAGTGGAGTTTCTCTGAACACACTGATAATCAGATTTTAAGGGTTGGGCCTACAGTTCGTGACATTGCAAAATAGTCAGTCCTGGTCCAATTTGTAACTTATA